GGTTGGGAGTTTCATTAAACTCTGCTGGCTGCTGTTTTATTATAAATTGGAATGTGGAGTTTTTTGCAATCTCAAACATTTATCTTTTGGATTGTTGTTTTAATTGTTGGTTATAACACTGCCCAAAATTGTGGCTGTGAGGTGGGCAGCCACATAAATCAAATAGTTTTTTTGACAGCAGAAAAAAAATCCTCCATTATTGAATAATAGACCAGAAAATTGGATTGTGATTTAGCTCCAAATAAATGCTTGAGACAAGCTGGAAAACTATTATTAGAAATTAGGAGAATGTGTAATTGGTTCTCTGATACATATGGAGGCTGGCAGGTAGAAGCAGGCAATATACTTTAATTTTTAAGGCTTTGAAGAACAAATGTATTTTATCATATCCATTATTTCTGGGCTGTAGCATATTTATTGCTTCTCTTTCATTACCGTATATTTTTTTATCACTACTAGTGCTGCAGGTTAAACTTTTACTGATCTTTTAAAGGCTTCTTTAGGGAAATACTGATTTACCTGTGAATTGATATCCTGTTCAGTGTAAGGCATGAGTGGTTAATATGGTAAGAGGCAACACCTATAAACTGACTTAAGCATGAGCAAAGGGAAAATGTTTAGTTCAGCATTATATATGTATATATACTGCTCACAAAAATAAAGGGAACATTTTACCATGGAACTGAAGGGGTTTGCGTTCCCTTTATTTTTGTGAGCAGTATATATATATATGTGTGTGTGTGTGTGTGTGTGTGTGTGTGTGTGTATGTATGTATGTATGTATGTATGTGTATATATGTATGTATATGTGTATATATGTATGTATGTGTGTGTGTATATATGTATAGCAAAAAGAAATCTGAATTTGTAATGTCAATGGCATGCCAGCAACCAGTCCGCACAAACAAGCAAAGCCCCATCTGAGAGATGCAGGCAGCACACAAAACCACGCACCCTCTGGTCCACGGAAAAACCTCTCTCCACGGAACCGGTCCCTGGCGCCCAAAAGTTTGGGGACCTCTGCACCATGTTATATGTCCAAACGGATTTTAATTCAAACCATTTTACTTTTATTCCAGGTCTGGATACTGAAAGCTCAGAATTCACCCTTACCATGGAGGATTTTATACAAGCTGCAACAAGGTTACAGCCTTCTGTTTCTGAGATGGAGCTGCTTAGATATAAATTGATCCAACAAAAAAATGCTGCTTGATTTGAAACAAATATGACCAAGAAAGAAATATCCATATAACCCCAGAAGTACAGAATAAAAGCTACCATGAGAATATTGTTCTTATTAAAAGAAATAGTGATGACTCAGTCACAATCTGGTGGATTCATATGAGTTAGAAAAATGAGTTCAAGGCGTAGACCCGAGACTGATGTTCAGATGTGCAGGATGTGTAGCAAATTAATCTTCATTCATACTTGGGACCGTTGCATCTATAAGGTGATCAACATCAGAAGGTGATCAACATCAGATGGGAAATCTTAGGCCCCTAATAATCTTAGCCTTTGAATTATGAGAGAAATGATTGTAAGTATTTAAAGATATTATTCTAAATAAAGGCTGTTTTGCTTTATCTGAAAAACAAAAATGCTATCTAATTCACTGAGAATCTATCATTTCTCATAAATGTGAAATACATGTGTTTTCTTTCTGGGTTTAAAATGGAGAGAATAGTAGTGGCTAGGACAGCAACTGATAAAATATGATTGTAATGGTTTCTTGCAGCTGGTCTTACTCAAATGCTGGCTCCTCTCTGAAGTAGCTTTGAGAATTTTCTAACCTTTGGAAACCTCTGGAAAATCAGAGCATGAAATTTGGAATTCAGGCAACCCTACATATATTAATTTTAAAATTGTCAATCTAAAATGAAATCATAGTTCTCTGCCACCTATTCCCATCACTACTGAGCTGTTCAAAAATAAATAAAGACTTTGCTCTTATTAATGAGGAACTTTTTAAAAAAGTCTCTTCTATTATTGTAAAAATAATTCTCATTATTCTACAGATGCAGCAGCAAAAGATACAAACACACAGAAATGCTTACAGCAATGGACAGTAATAGTGTGAAGGCAGAAAGTAGATTTATTTTGAAGTTATCTCACAAGTTGTTGGAAATACACGCCGGTCATCGGTTCTGATCAGCTCCAGCTAGTGTAGGCAGTGAGGAGTATAGTCCAACTTAAACTGAAGGGGCACTGATTCCCCAGGCACAATAAAGAATGAAATAAGGTTTTTTTGTCCCCCTTGTTCCTTTCTTCCCAGCCTTTCTTCCCTTGAAGAAAAACTGCATCACTGTAATCATTAGTCTAACATAGGTGTAAATTAGCCAGGCATTTCCAGCAAAAAGAGGAAGAAAGTATCAAGAGAGAACAATGTACATTTTAGCCAACTGTGCAACTGAGACTGAGATGCAAAGCAATCTTATCCCACCTCCTTCCCTCCAATGCCATTAAGCATTTCAATCCTCAAAGTGTATTAATTACACTGGACTCTTTGGGAAAATTCTGGTTTATATAATACCTATGCATATTTATTCTTGCTTATACAAGTTCTGCACCTTGTCACCCATTGAAAAGACCCCATATGACCACTAGACTAGTCTGTTGACTAGATCTCAGCCAGTTTTCTTCACTACATGGATGAAATAGCATGGGCCAGGCTTCTGGCCTAGTATGTAAGGCTTGAAGTCCCCCAGGACTGTGTGTTCACATTGGCCTTGAAATGCATTTTTCAATAGTTCTGTGAAAGGCTCCAGACGATGAGGATAATAAGAAAGACGGAACTGACTGATAAAAGAGAAAATTTGTGTTAATATCTAAGTAACAAAAGCATGAAGATATTAATACAGCAATGTAAGGAACTTGGCTATCTCCCTTTCTACTTGTTCAGAAAGATTAATTTATCCATGATCCTTTGAGGATTCTGGTCAAAAAGAATGCTGCAAATCAAAATTACTGTACTTTGAGATGGTTTTTAATTAAGAAAACAATACTTTTTATTAACAGTTATTAGTGTATGTATGGAATCTTATTCTCTGTTTGTATCAGTACAAATCAAGAAATATTAACTTACATACCAGAAGGTCCAAACTCAATGTATATATGCTGTTTCATAAGCTTAGGTAGTGTAAAGAGGCCCTGTCACTGATATCTGTTAATTTGATGGTTTTAGGAGGTGAACAGATCTCTGAGGCCATCTCATGGATAGGTACAGTATAGTATGTAAAGTAATTAAAAGACCTAGCTGTTTCCCAGGCATTGGGTCAGGCAGGTAGATGAGCCCTTTTTATTGATGTGAGATTATTATTTATCCTATGGCACTGGGAGTTTATGTGTGGTGGATTTTCTGTTTTAATCTTTATTAGATGCCCAGATTCACTTGTATGAGATCAGTAGCTCTGCAAATTAAATACCTTGTTTCCCTGAAAATAAGCCCTACCCCGAAAATAAGTCCTAGTTTTGGGGTGAGGCACACGCTTAAAAATCAAGTTAGGGTGGGGGCAGGGGGGGGTGGAGCTGTCCCACACGTCCCGCACCTGCTTACCTTACTGGTAGGACTGCCATAGGCAGGCCTCCCACGCCCTGAAACTTGTCGCGTCACATGGCTCATTGCACCGTTGCTGCTGGTCACGGGAGGAGGTTGTGCAGCACTTCGGGCCGTTGCTGCTGCTCGTGGCCGGATGCCATGTGATGCTTTGACCATTTGCAGGAGGCTGCAAGGTGCATCGGGCTGTTGTTGCGGTCACGGCAGCACACTGTGCAGGATCCTGCCATGAGCGGCAGTAATGGCTCAAAGCACCATGCGGCCTCCTGCAAATGGCTCAAAGCACCGTGCAGCCTCCTGCCGCAACTGGCAACACTGGCATGAAGCACCATACGGTGTCCTGCCACAAGTGGCGGCACTGGCGCAATGCGCCACGGCGTCCAGCTGCTAGTGGCGGCAAGTGGCCGCTGAAGAAGTCAGGCAGCAGTGCGACAGGTGTCGGGGCATAGGAGGCCTGGCTGTGGCAGTCCTAAGGTAAGACATTCCCTGAAAATAAGACCTAGTGCCTCTTTTTGAGGCAAAAAAAAAAAAAGTAAGACCAGGTTTTATTTTCAGGGAAACACAGTAAATAAATGCCCAGGACACCTGTTTGCTCTAACCCTATGCCAAATGGTTAGTTGTGCTAAACCTGGTTATCAGTGGAGATGCAATAATCGTGGGTTCTACAGAGAACATACCTTAAGTCTGAATTTCCATCACTGCCTTCATGTGGGATCTGCACAGTGTAGTCCAATGTCACCATATTCGGTTTGTTATTCACAAGGAGAACCGAGGTAGTAATGTCCTTGGTTAAATCACTCTGAGAAAGAAAGATACAGGAAATAATTAGTTATCTATGTTTATGTTTTTCTGCTTTTTTTTCTCGGTGGCTTGTTCACTATGTTAAGCCAGCCCCAGATTGCAGAACAACATTGCTGCCATTTATAACCTACTTTTCTCTCTATTCTGTTTAAGTAAAAAGACAAATTCGTAACATTGCTTGTTCCTCTTCCTTCTAATTATATCATAATACTGTAAATACTTTGCCTATAGGCAGTTAATTACTTATTGCTCAAATATACTTGTGCTATTTTTAATTAACATTCCCTCTGGAGAAAAAAGTAGTGTGTGTTGTAGTTGTAGTATAGTAGTAATAATAGCACAATGCTGCTATAGAAAAGTGGTAGCTGGAGATTCTCAATTTTTATCTTTGCATTGCCAACAGGCTTATATTAGGGATCAGCCTCAAAGACGTTGACTAACATTTTATGCTTGGAGCCAAATATCTAATTCCAATCTCTAAAGCTCATGACTGGGATGAGAGATTTTTTATTGTCTATTAGATTCACGCCTTCATGAGCCCTGTAATCACCTTGCTATCTACATTTGACTCTACAATGTTCTCAGTTGAGCAGCTTCATATGTAATGGTATGGATATATTGAGATCTCAATGTTTGGAAGGGATATGAGACTAGAAAACTATTAGCTAACAATTTAATTAGCAATTAAAAAGAATATATATCCTATACGAAAAAGCTTCCTATACAGGTAATCCTCGAGTTACGAGCGTTCACTTAACGCTTGTTCAAAGTTATGTGCAAGTCCCGAAGTTACAAATATTGCAGCACCACGGCAGTTGTTCGCCCTTACGAGCAACCGCAGTGGTTCTACAACATTCACCCTGGTTATTCCCTCCCCACCCCCACCCTGGGTCTCCCTAGGCATCAGGCCTTCAATGCTCACCCTGCGAAGATTGAGATCCTTCGCTTTCTTGGATGCTCCAGGCCTTCGGTGCGTTCACAGAGAATGGAGGCCTAAAGTAACGCAAGATCACGCGAGATCAGTGGGGCGAGATCACACGCTACTGATCTCACATGATCTCATGGTAATTTAGGCCTCTGTTCTCTGCAACGGAGAACGGAACCGAAGCTGGGGGACGCTTCCATGTGCCTCCGGAGGCTGGATCGGGGCTCCGGAGGCCTTTTTCAGGCTGCTGCGGCCCGGATCTAAGGCCAGGGGAGGCTTCTGCGCTCCCCCTGCAGCCCAATCCAGCCTCCAGAGGCCTTTTCCAGGCTGCTGCTGCTGCTGCCTGGATTTGAGGCTGGGGTGTGTGTGCGCGGTAGTATTCCCCCGCCTCAAATCCGGTCAGCAGCAGGAACCACAGCAGAGAGGAGACGGATCTTTTCCAGGTGAGTCCGGCACAGCAGGAAGGGAGGGGGAAGCATGCGGTATCTTAGTGGGTCATGGAGGCCTTGAGGGTCTGTTCCAGCACTAGGCCCTCCACGGCCTTCCCCACCCTGAGATACCTCATGTTTGCTTAACGAGCAAGGGAGTGATCTCGTACCTCCAACGAGATTCACTCAAGTTTTCGAGTTACGAGTGGAATGGGCAGGCTCCATTACACTCGTAACTTGAGGACTACCTATATGTCTATTCCAATGCTATCTACTCGGATGCAGCAGTGCTTTGATGTCACAGAAGTCAGTGTTTAGATGCTTTTAATTGGAGACTACAATATATGCTCTGGTAACCAATCTATTCCCACCCAGCTCTGAAAAAATAGTGAAGAATTAACAGGTTAAACAGAATCTCTGGGAGCAACACAGGGGCAGATTTCCTTCTCCACTTCTCTTGCAACATTATGAACACTAGACTATCTAAATAAAGTCAGGTAGCTTGATGTGGTCTGATTCTGCTTGACAGATTTCCTTTATTTTTAAGTATTTTTAAAGGGTTACACTGAAATACATGGCACTGTACTATAAAATGGTACCTTACTATTATAATTAGCTCTGGTAAGCTATAAAAATGTTTTTGCTGTTTTAAGATGTTTTAACATCACTGTCACAAAAGGTTAGGCAGCGTTTATTTCCAGCATTACCTTGTAGTAGATATTTTTCCCAGGAGGGGCGCAACCTGTTTCCAAGATGTAGTCATAATTACGGTGATCAATGACAAGAATGCCACCTGGACGAACCATGCTGGCAATATTCCTAAGAGCCTGTTTATGAACACCCTGGTCACCTAGGGATAGGTACAAAATTTGAATTAATTTTTTTCCTGTTCCCTTTAGATTGCTTTTTGCCTTCAAACCAGGGAAACCTCTGGCTATCCTGGGCGTGTTTGTTTGTTGATTAACAAAGTAATAACACCTAAATTATGGGTATTAGTGCACTCAGATAATGAAATATTTATATTTAAGATATGTAACAAAAAACCCCACTACCCTTACAGCTACCCCTTTGCACCCAAAGCTAGTTTTCTGGAGTTCCCCTTGCCCCAAACATTGCAGCATTGCTGTAATAAGAGAGCATGTGGCTTGTATCATCTGTTCTTCACATAGTTTTTAGATGTGAAGTTAGAATCTGGTAAATTCATTTTTTTCAATTTACAAATTCAGTTACAGGTGGTTCTCAATTTACAACAGTTCGTTTAATGACCATTTGAAATTACAATGGCAGCAAAAAAAGTAATTTATAACCAGTTTTCACATTACGACCATAGTATCCCCATGGTCATGTGATCAAAATTCAAGTGCTGGGCAACTGGCTCATCGTTATGACAACTGCTGTGTCCCGTGATCACCTTTTGTGACCTTCTGACAAGCAGAGTCAATGGGGAAGCCAGATTCACTTAACAACAGTTTGACTAATTTAACAACTACAGCGATTCATTTAACTGGGGCAAGGAAGGTTGTAAAATGGGGCAAATTCACTTAACAAATGTTTCACTTAGCAGCAGAAAGTTTGGCTCAATTGTGGTTGTAAATTGAGGACTACCCATACTGAAATTTAGATGATCAATTCCCCTCCAGCACTAGCCTAGAAGGAAAAAATACAAAATGTAATGGATCCAAAAATGCTTGAAATTTGGATAGAATCTGCAAACTAAAATATCTCCTATCATCATATCCATATCAGGAAGAAAGTTAAACCACTTGTTTTCCCAAGTTAAACTGATTTAATTTTCAACACAATTTTTGAATGTAAACAGATTATGTGAAAAAAATAAGAATTTTATCATAGCATAAAATCCAGCAATTAGTTCTTCTTTGGTATTTAAAGAATTACTTATCACTTTAAATAAATAAAAAAGCTAGTAAGTATTTTTATTTATTTAAAGTCAAAGTAAATTTCTGGGTAGACAAAGGAAAAAAATCTCAGATTATCCCTTTCTATAGCACTGGCAATCCCACAGACCTCTGTATGACAATCTTTTGTCATTCACCTTTAAAATCTGGAAGATGGGCAAAAGAATTCCCTAAGCAGATGACAGCATCAAAGCCTTCGCCCGGTTTCTGTAGATCCTGTGGCAAGGTGAGCCAGTTAGCCTCTTCAATTACTGCAGAACAGAAAAGCACACTTTATATAACTTAACTTCTGCTTCCTCATCCTGCCTTGCTCTATTTAAGTAAGAAAAGATGTTATGTTTCCAGTACCAAAGGGAAGTGATAATCATCAACTTGCCACCCTAGTTCATATAATATGCTAAACCTGTGGTACTACATGACTTTAACATTATATCTTATACATAATGGTTTGTGGTTTAATATGTTGTATGAACTGAACCAGTAAAGTTAAAACAAGTTGTGTCTTAGCATAATGTGTGAAGCTAACCTCACACTTTTTAAAATGTGACTCTTCAGGAAAGTCTGTTATGAAACAGCTTGCCCCATATAAAAATAATAATAATCCTCACTTTTCCCCTTCCATTCCATTCCCACTAAAGAAAACTTGTTTCCTGAAGTCTTATTGTTACTAGAATAAATAGCTAAGAAAGAAATACTGAGCTTTCTACAGCATGCTGGGTTTGTGAATGTTTTAGTGGCACTTTTGCACATGTGCTAGTAGTCATCTGTGTTAAGGGCTGCTTCTATCCAGAAATTCCTGATCATTGTAAAATTGTTGTAACAACTATGGGCTGGGTTTGTGAATGTTTTAGTGGCACTTTTGCACATGTGCTAGTAGTCATCTGTGTTAAGGGCTGCTTCTATCCAGAAATTCCTGATCATTGTAAAATTGTTGTAACAACTATGGGCCATTTCCAACCACCATCAAGCTTTTCCTATATAACTTTCTGATTCTTCTGTGGATTTGTATTTTTGATGCTTCTGCAAATTTCATTAATTACCACATGACTCTGTTGCTGGGATCATAAAGGAAATAATCTTGGGTTTGTCCTTGAGCTAATTGTTTTTTATTAGATTCTGTAACTCAGTGTTGCTTGTTGCAAACTTATTGTGCTAAAAGTAATTATTTTGGGTTACAGTAGACAGACACTTATTCAGAGGGAATGGCAAGAGCTATTGGTCCACAGACCAAACTAAAACCTAAAACCGGTCAAAAAGCTGGAAGTGTGCTGCCAGATTATGGCCAAGGAGAAATTCACATACAGTTTAATATTTTCAAGTTATTTTGGAGATTATGGCTTCAAAGATAATCCTCAAAATCATAGGCATTATGTACAGCTTTAATTAAGTGTCAAGGAAAATTGTAAAGAGTTTCTTAAATGCTTGTCTCATCCAGGCAAGACAGTATCAGAATTTCTACACCCTTTCAGCCATCTCTAAAATGGTTCTGGCTCTTCTGCTTACCAAATTAACCAATCTTAAACTATTGGCAGATGAGTAATACTTGTGGAGGAGATTTAAAGGTATGCACACATGGGTCAAAGCAGTCAGGGTACGTTGGACGTACGTCAACCTGATGCCTCCAAATGTTGGCAACTTGTTCCAAAAGGTTAGGAAAGTGTGTTATAAAGCAGGGGTCTGCAACCTTGACAACTTTAAGACTTGTGGACTTCAGCTCCCAGAATAGCTGGCTGAGAATTCTGGAAGCTGAAGTCCACAAGTCTTAAAGTTGTCAAGGTTGCAGACCCCTGCTATAAAGGACACAGGCAATAGAGTCATAATTTCATGGACCAATTTTCAGAAGGCCAAATTAGTTTTAATTCTTGTGTGTTTATGAATGAAGATTAATAAATTCCAGTAGCAAATTATAAAGCCTTGACTGGGGCGAGGAACCATCTATTCCCCACGGTACCCTACAGGCACCTCTTTCACCTGCACTCCAAATATGTCAGCAGGGAGCACATTATAGCATTGGCATTCTGGCAGCTGCTCCAACAGCACTGATCAAATTTCATCATGCTCTTCTTGTCAAGACATAAATTTACTGCTAATTTAAACATAGCCTGGAAAAGATGCTCAAATATTGTTGTTGGAAATATTCAGATTGCAATAGAGTAAGGGCCTAGGACAAGAACTCAGACCTGTTTTTACATGGGGCTAAGATGCTGATCAAGTTAACACTTCAGATTCAAACTAGCACAATATACAGAAATGTTAAATAGTAGACATGTTTATGTAATGACCGGAGAGTGCATTAATGATAGATATATCCCATGTGAACTGTATCATGTACTAGGTATGAGAAAAGTGCCAAAATAAGAGAGTTCAAGCACTGATACATATCAATATCAAATTATGTCAAGTCATGCTAAGGGTTATAAAAATATATGGGCCCTTGGGAGTCATCAGACAGAATGAGCATTTTATATTAGCATTGTGCTTCAATTCTGAAACTCAAAACTGGCCTGGCTGGCTAAACTTTAAATTGTGAAGGTATGCAAGGGTGTGTAAATAATTGAGCTTTTAACTAAGAACAATAAAAACAGTAAATGTGCATTTGTTTCTACATGTTTGGATCTCTGATTAAAAGAGAACAGCATGAGAAGCACTTTCTATCCCGGAGTCTGACACAGATCCCAGTCTAGCGATTTTGGGAACAGACCAAAATATAGCACCTAACTACTGTTTTTTCTACATTCAGACTCTGCCCTGGAACTAATAAAAATGTTTTAATAGTTTGCTGTCAGCGGGATATGAATCAATTAAGAATACATGACTATAGACTTCCAAAGCTAATATTCTCTAGATTTGTTGGACCAAAAGTCCCAGAATTCTACAGGTTACAATCCAACATATCTGGGGTACATCAAATTGGGGAGGGCAATCAGTTAATATTCTTAAACCAAAAGTTAAGAGTACCCCAATGATCAAACGGATCTTCTTTTCGACGGTTCCATCGCTCCTTCAAGGCGTATTTGAGCATTTTGTCACTGGCATCTACACTGGTGACACTAAATCCTTCTTCAACCAACATAATGGAATCCACACTGCGCCAGAAATGGAGAGAGAAAATGATTTCCAGGTACTCTTTGAGGGATGAGATCTGAAGTAAACTATTTTTCAGATTAACTCAGCATAATAAACCCCTCCACTTACGTTAGCAGTTACATTTTAGTAGTTCGAGGAAAAAAGTCACCCATGAAAGTTANTAGGGCAATGGCTCCTATACTATATAAAAATCCTTTCCTAAGGCTGCATACACAGTATCTCCTACATGTATCTCTCTTAATAAATAAAAAATAATACCTGCACATATTCACTTAAAATCTATGGCGAAGAGAAATTCAATATTCTCTCCCTTCTGAAACAGCAAAGATGAGTACGTTCTTAAAACAAAGTATATTTGTGGGAATGGTTCCTCTGGTTTTATTTTTCTCATCTCTGCCCTTTTACTACATTATTACTTTTTAAATGGTCATCTTGATTAACACAGCAAGGAATCACATGCATTCCACAATCCTTGTCAACTGAATCAAGAAGGCCTGAGTGTAATTTCAAGTCTGACCAAGCTCAGGTTAGGCAAATGAACCATAGAAAATCATTCAGAAAACAGGAATGGACAGTGATACCCATCATGATGGGATTGAAATGTGCCATAAATGTAACTTGTGATTACTTAAATCCACATCCAAATATAGTGGATATAACATAATCATACTTAAAAATATCAACAGGTTGTAATGAATTAAGTCCATACTCAAAGAAGAAATGGTAAATGGTTTTTTATTTTGCTCTTGTATGTTCCTGCAAAGGCTTCAGGCAGCTAACAGTGTTATAATAACAATCTAACCCCTCAGGCATTTTAAAAAAATAAAAGATAAAAATCTGTAAAATAAAAATGTTATGTGTCCTCCAAACCCACCTTCACTTACAGCACAAACGTCTACTGTGACAAACAGAAAAGGTAGGTCATCAACATTTTTCTCATGTTTAAGAGGGATGAAGCTGACTAGATCTTAGGGGGTTCCAAAGAGTGGAAGCAGCTAATGAAAACACCCTTCCAAGGTCTTTCATGTGACATCCTCATAGGGATGAGATCCAGAGGAAATTGATCCTATTTGATCTTATTGCGTGAACTCATGAATATAGAATGTGGTCCCTCAGACAACCAAGCCTGGAATCAAATTTGCTCAGGATAACAAACGGCAACCCATGCAGTTCCTCAAAGCAGCAAAGTCATCCAGGAAAATTGGGATACCCCCATCACATCTGGGCTGTTGGGTTTTGTACCAGTGGCAACATCCAAATGCTCTTCAAGGGCACTTCTTTGAACAGCACATTCCAAATGGAGGTGAATGACTGTCAGCAGGTTCTTGTGATCCATGGTCACAATTGGCACACAAATGCAAAACCCTTCTAGCCACATCTATCACCTGTTCTTCCAGCAGTAACTGGGACTGTAGGAGGACCGCCAAATTGCAAACCACCATTCAGATTTAGAGATAGAATTTCTCAGAAATCATCAGTACCCAAACTAAAATCACTCCATGTTGAAGGAATTCATTTAGAATCTATTTTCTCCATCTGCACTGATAGCACTGGGTCAGCACTTTTGATTCATTTATTTTATTAACACGCACTGGATCAGCACCATCACTTGTTCAAGTCAGGGACAAGATGTATAGCTGATCAGGAGCAACATACTGACGATACCAAAACTTACATCAACAGATTATCCCCCCCCCAGATATTAAAAAGGAGTGAAGAGAGGAGAAAACCCTGAGGCACTTCACAAAATAGCAGCCTCAGAGATCACTCCTCTCTTACAGATACTGATTAAAACTATCCCTTCAGAAAAGAAAGCCACTACAAGATAATGTCCCTCCCCAATCCCTTAGGAATGGACCACAGATATCTTAGCTGATGGTTTTGAAAGTCACTGAGAGATCAAGGAGGACAAAGAAAGTTGAACCTTGCCCCAATGACTGCACAAGCATGACCAGTTCAGTTTCCTGCTGTATCCTGGCCTGAAATCTGACTGCCCAGTGTTCAAATAATCTGCTTCCTCTAGGGTTTTCTGCAATTGCTAGGCCACAACTTTCTTAATGATCATTTCTTAAAAAGGAATGTTAGAGACAAATTCAAAGTTGTCCAAAATGGATTGAGAGACTTCATGAGTAGGAGGTACACCAAGCTTCCTTCAGAGCTGACTGAATCCTCCCTTCTCGACAAAATATTCATTACTGCTCAGATTTAACCTCCAAAAGCTCATCCAAAAGCCTTAACCAGACATGAGGCAGAAAACCCAGTTGGAAGTAGCAGCACTTATTTGGAACCCCAAATAAGAGATATTTGTGCCTATAAATGCCTATTTTATCATCCCCTGAATATTTTTAAGACTGCCTAAGAATATTCAGCAGCACCTGTTCTGCAAATTTTCAAGTTTTTGCATTACTGTACAATTATTTCACACATTTAAACCCATAAATATAAAAAGGGAAACAAACAAATGTACAGTATGCCATCCTAGATGATTCACACTAGAACAGGCATGTCAAACTGCCGGCCCACGGGCCGGATGTGTCACGATGAAACCACGCCCACCCCATTCCCGGCAATGGGGAAAAAGTTGCAATACATCGCACGACATCATGTGACGTCATGAGTTTGACATGCCTGCACTAGAAGATGTACTGATGCTTCTGTTTGTACAGAAATATGTTCAACTCACATTCTGTTTACATTAACTTGTCTTGCAAAGGCTGGCCATATCATGAGGCAAAGTTGAGGTAGTTATTTCAGGCTGATTTTAGCTGAAAGGGCAGTAAATTGTTAATATTTGATGTATTAATCAAGTATAGATGGGAAAAAAGCAGCAATGTTTACAGGAATTTCCATGTGTCCAAATATCTCTGGACTTGGAGGAAGGAATAGAAACTCTTTTTTCAGCCAGTAAAATATCTTGGGCAGATTAATTCATTCCTGCACTACAGCTGGTTAAAAAGTGTGTTCTAATTATGTATTAAAAGTACAATAAAATAAATGTATCAAACTATTCCTATTTTTGGAAAATATTGCTTATATATGCATAGAAAGTAGAAAAACAGGTAATGAGAAAGCAAGCTGCTAAATGCAATAGTTGCATTAGGTATTATTTTCAAATTTTTATTTCTATAGACATTTTAGTCATTAGGCTTCAGCATGATGCAATCATAGGACTTTAATCTGAAGACAGCCTAAGGCTCCAAACAAGCCTTAGTAATTTGGGGAAGAGAATCACCCAAGCTTATGCCAAAGCTTAAGTCTTTGGAATGCCACAAAACCCCCTTGATGTTTATATCCCCTTGATTCTAATTGTTCTGCTCTGAGTAATGGCCAAATTTGGACTCACTTCTTTCAGATACCAAAGGTGATCGAACTTCTAACGGAACCCCCGATTGAGTGGGAGTTTGGAAAGGTGTGCCCTTTTAACAAGAACAAAAAAAGTGAGTGACGTTGGAAGACTAAATGCAGATTTCCCCTTCTCCCCGAGGAATTGAAAGGGGTCATTCCCAAGTGAGCAAGCACTGTCACCTCGGGCACAATCATTGCTGGATAACACGCAGGTGCAATTGGACACGGATCTGAGGGTTTCAACGCGCATTGCATCGGCTGTCGAGAGGCAGCGTGCAGATTCAACGGAAGCCTTACGATTCCGGATCAAATAGCACGGAACCGCAGCTACGGCGATACGCTCTATCTGCACGTTTACCACAAAAAACTCCCGACGTACGACAGGCAGGGAAGCGGCCCAGCAACACTTCTCGCTCGCGACTCACCCGGTGCCGCAGGCCACGTCGAGCACCGTCTTGCAGCACTGAGCGCGCAGCAGCGACGCCAGCCAGTTCTTATACTCGGCCGTGCGGCTCCGCGTATCGCCGATGTAGAGCTGCCAGACGCGCGCCGCCCGGCCATCCGCATATTGGTCCGGGAGCCCCTCGGCTGCCACGCCCAGCGAGCGAGTCCGGTAGATACTGTCCACCATGGCGAGGCCGGTGGCTCAGGGCGCAGGTTGTGCGGCGGCTGCTCCGACCTCGTCAACGGCTCCCGATCCGCTTACGCTAGAGCTGCCGCTTCCAACAATTAGGATCCCCAGCTGAGCCGGCAGCCGGTCGCCGGAGGAACTCACTCCAGCCAGGGACCGCCCCTCGGCGCAGCCGGCCAATCGAAAGCCGGGATAGCGGACACTCCCACCCCTCCGCCCGCTGAAGGGCCATTCCTCCTCTCCCCGCCCTCCCCCTGTTCCTGAAATTAAAGGTCTTGACCCAAGGCCGCTTCAGGTTTCTCAAGTCTTCCCAACAATATTGGCCGCCGGGTGGCTTGCATCTGTGTTGGCCTTGCTGACTATAAATCATGAGAATGCTAGTCCAACATCGCTGGCAATACTACTTATGCTTATCTTGGAGTCGCAGAACACCCCATAACCTAGTGCTGAGTAAACACGCAGAGAATTCTTACAGACAAAAAATCCGATAGAACAGGATATTAATACTTCAGTCAGCTTTGTCTAAAATCTGATCTGTTATAAGTGATTTGTGTATTTAAATTTGGATTTTGTGCTTCCACAAATGGGACAGTTGTAAAAAATGTTAAAATATTTTAATAAAATATTTACTTCCCTAGTTTATATTCTGCTTTTTTTTTAAATCAAACTCCAGGTTTAATAAATAAAAACCAACCACAAATCCATTATTAAAACTAAAATCATATAATAAAAAAACAGTTCAATATAAGTCCCAGCCACAACAACCAAAAAACCTCACTACAATAGCAATAGTTACCAAGTTCCTAGAGCTTGTTGAAAAAGCTGTATTTCTCTTCTTTTTCTGAATGTAACAAGAGTGAATCATTCAGAGTTTGGAGAGACCTGATTCCACACTTCTGGTTTTGAAAAGATATTCATTCTCTCCTTTAAAATGTTTTATAAAAACATTTCTTACTTGTTGAAATTGAAAATAGAACTGGAAACAAGCTCTTCAAAATGCACAAATAACTTTCATAGCTATATGCAGGAAATAACTTTTTCAAAATAATATTGTAGCTTCTGATAAAATAGACCACAGTCTACTTCAAGAGCAGTTTTGATTCCTACTGTAGTAGAGTTCTAAGTGCTCTTCATGGTGCTGGTTATTACTCTTAAAGCCCAAAGTGGCATGGAGCCAGGCTACTTGTGGGACCATCTATCCTGTCTTTTCAGTTACATTGAATGCCAGGAGGCAGGCACTATAGGGCTGGTTTTGATTTATTTGCAACTTAGTGCTGATAGACAGATTTTACTCCATGAGGTTCAAAGCCAGGAATTGAATTCATTAACTTTTGCACTTTATATGATTATGTACAGTGCATTAGTTTTAGGAGCTATCCCTTTCAAAGCTTCTGGAGCAATCGGGAACTGCCAGAAGATTGGAAAAGAGCCGATGTGATTCCAATCTTTAAAAGGGATAAACAAAGTGGATCCAGGAAATTATAAACTAATCAATGTCTGGGGAAATCCTAAAAAAGATAATTAAGCAGAGGATTTGTGAGCATCTAGAAGAATAAGAAGAGTAGAAGACTAGAATAGAGCTGGAAGGGACCATCTATGTCTTCTAGCCCAGCCCCATGCTCATGCAGGAGAACCTATACCATTTCAGGCAAGCGACTGTCTAGTCTCTTCTTTAAAATCTCCAATGATAGAGCGCCCACAATTTCTGGAGGCAAGCTATTCCACTGGTTAATTGTTCTCACTGTTAGGAAGTTTCTCCTTCCAGGTTGCTTTTCTCTTTGATCAGTTTCCAACCATTGTTTCTTGTCCTGCCTTCTGGTGCTTTGGAGAATAATTTGACCCCCTTTTCTTTGTTGCAGCCCCTTAAATACTGGAATACTGCTATCATGTCACCCCTATTTCTTCTTTTCTTTAGATTAGCCAAACCCAAGTCCTGCAGCCATTCTTCATATGTTTTAGTCTCCAGGCCTTTGATCATCTTAGTTGCTCTTAGTTGCTCTTCTTTGGAATTTTTTCCAAAGTCTCAACATCTTTTTTGTAGTGTGGTGACCAAAATTGGTTGCAGTATTCCAGTGTGGTCTTACTAGGGTTTTATAAAGGGGTACTAATATTTTGCTTGATCTTGATTCTATCAGTCTGTTTATACAATCCAGGATTGTATTAGCTTTTTTGGCTGCTGCTGCACACTGCTGGCTCATAGTCAAGTGATCATCCACTAGGACTCCCTCTCACAGTTAATGTTTTTGAGCCAGGTCTCGCCTAATCTGTACTTATACCTTTGGTTTTTCCTGCCTAAATGTAAAATTTTGCTTTTCTCCACATTAAAACTCATTTTGTTGAATAGGACCCATTGTTCAAGTTTGTCAAGAACTTTTTGGATCCTGAGCTTGTCTTCTGAGGTGTTGGCTATTCCTGCCAGTTTAGTGTCATCTGCAAATTTGATGAGTTCCCCTTCTATTCTCTCATCTAAGTCATTTATGAAGATATTGAAGAGTACTCGGCCTAAGACGGAGCCTTGTGGTATCCCACTGCTTATTTCTCTCCGTGTGGATGTAACACCATTGATGACTACTCATTGAGTATGGTTTGTCAGCTAGCTTCAAATCCTGGTGGTGCTGTTGTCTATTCTGCCTCTTTCTAGCTTACCAAGAAGTAGGTTGTGGTCTAGAAAGGAACAAGGCAATTATTGGAAGCCAGAATGAGTTTGTTAAAAACAGGTCATGCCAGACAAACCTTGTTGCCTTCTTTGATTAAATTAGTGGATCAGGAAAATGCCGTAATTATAATATATTTGAACTGCAGTAAGACATTTAGCAAAATAGACTACAGCCTATTTCTTAGTAAGATAAAACAATGTGGAATAGACAGTACCACTACCCAATGGATTTGCAGTTGCCTGATCTATTGCACTCAGTGTGTAATCCTCAATGGAGCTATATTTATGTGGAGGGAAGCATGCAGTGAGGTACCTCAAAGTTCTGCCTTGGGCCCAGTGCTCTTCAACATCTTCATAAATGATTTAGATGAGAGGAGGACAGAAGGCAAATTCATCAAATTTGCAGATGACACAAGCTGGATGGAATTGCCAACACTTTGGAAGATATACTCAAGACTCAGAAGGATCTTGACAGACTTGAGCATTGGACCCTATCCAACAAGACGCAGTTCAGTGATGAGAAAAGTAAAGTCCTGCACTTAGGCAGGAAAAACCAAATATATAGGTATGTACAATACAAAATACCTGGCTGAACAGTGGTAATTGTGAGAGGGATCTAGGTGTCCTAGTGAATTACTTCTTAAGTATGAATGCTGCAGCTGCCAAGAAAGCCAAACATTCTAGGCTGCATCAAGAGGGATAGCATCAAGATCATGGAAAGTGATAGTACCACTCTATACTACACTAGTAAGGCCACATTTGGAATGCTGAGTCCAGTTCTGGTCACCATGATACAACCCACCCCCCTTAAGCCCTAGAAGGACTGCCAAGAAGAACAACCTGGCGGTAAGGAGTCTGAACTTAAATCATACCATAATAAGTTAAGGGTATATTTAGCCTAATGAAGAGAAAGCTCAAGGCAGACACAATAGCAGTTTCCCAATACTTGAAGGGCTGTCAGAGGGAAGAAGATGTCAATCTATTATCCATAGCACCTGAGGGCAGGACATGAAGCAATAGGAGGAAACTTGTCAGAAGAAGATTCAACCTGAAACTATGGAGGTATTTCCTGATAGTGAGAAAGATTAATCAATGGAACAGCTTGCCTCTCAGGGTTGTGGGTGCTGCATCATTGGAAGTTTTTCAAGGAAAGATTGGACAACCATCTAGCATGGTAGAAGAACTCCTGCACTGAACAAGGGGTTGAACTAAAAGACCTCCAAGCTCCCTTCCAGTCCTATGATTCTAGGTGTTCAGTGGTTGCAAGAAGGGATATATTACACAGAATCTATAAGAACACTATATGTAATCCACTTTCCCTTAAGCTGTCAGAGCAGATTGATATAGATTTCACAACACATAGATAGAAGGTTGGAAACTCAAAGAATAACACCTGCTGTCCTCATCTGTTGACTCCCAAATAGGATGAAACACTTAGTGATTGTTTCCCAGGAACACTAAATATATTGGTGGTCAGTATAACTGAAAACACCCTCAGAAAATATACACTATGTTAAAATAGAGAGATTCTCTCCCCCCCCCCCAGTATAGTACAGAGCATGGCATAATGCAATATCTGTATGTCTCAGCTCTGGGAGGGATAGTGGACTGTATAGAACTCTAAGGGATACTACGGGAAGGTGGACTATTTATCTGATGGTTTCTGTCCATCCCAATCTGGTAGATGGGCACGTTCAGTGAAGTAATGTCACCTGGTAGGTCCTATAAAGCAGGGGTCCCCAACCCCCGGTCTATGGACCGGTACCGGGCTGCCGCATACCAGCAATCAGTCCTCACAAACAAGCAAAGCCCCATCCGTGGGCTGCATAAGAATTTTCAGAAAATGAAAGAATCTACCATCTGTGGGATGTAGGCAGCACACAAAACCACGCACTCTCTGGTCCACGAAAAAACCTTTCTCCACGGAACCGGTCCCTGATGCCCAAAAGGTTGGGGACCTCTGCTATAAAGACTTACCTTATTGAGCAGCACCACCACCACCACTGAGTTTCAGACAGCTTTGACAGTTTTGACCTTCCTGAAGATCTGGTCTTTTTCCCATGAAGCCCAGCAAGTGTGTAGAGGACATATTGGTAAGATGTTTTTACAGTGGCTTCAACTTGATTGTTTTAATTGATTTCTAATTAGTTCAAGATATTTTACTTTTGGGTCATCATCCAGAGTCCCATTGGTAAATGGATGGTTATATAAATTTGTTAAATAAATAAATATACTGATTCCTTCTGCCCAACCTTTTTCCTGGGGGAGACTCGCAGCAAGGTTTCTTTATAGTCACTACCCCTTTTATTTCCTAGGAGTTCCCAAATGCAGAATTCTATGGCTGGTAAACGCCTCTGTTTTTAGAGTCTTGCCTAATTATCCTTATTGT